TTCATAACTACATCAGAGAAAAAATAAAAAAAAAATTCTGAATAACTCAAATTACATTTGAATTTCAACTCAAATTTTGTTATATATCATTCACATTGGCTAATAATTTGTTCATATACCGGTATATTAAAATCTGAGTCTATGAACTATGATAAAAACGTATTCAAATTCATGGTAAAAAATTCTGTCTTGTATGGGTTAATTTGGTATTGATTGGGATAAGATTTAAACCAAAATTTGATTCATTTATAAAAAAAAAACTCATATAGGAACCTTGTGATGACAATGTAGTTTGCAGTGATGTGTAACAGGTCTCTGATCATATGAAAAATCAATTCACAATGATAGATTAATGTTCCCATTTGAAGAAATTGTCTTGCCCCTTGTCATGAAGTGGTCTGTCCTGGCATGTTCCCTTGTCAAAGTGTTTGGTTAACAATTGTTGCCGAGGATAGTCCTATGCTATTTAAAAAAAAAAAAATTTGGTATCATATTATTAAATGATTTTAGACTTTTTATTTTTCTTTGATTATTGATTGTGAAAATGATAAATTGAAGTAAAATCATAAAATAAGGATTTTTCAAATGTGTAAAATTTTTTTCTCGGAAGAAAAAAAGAAGTATGATATCGAAACCCGCTTGCGAAGTGTAAAATATACAACGACACATGAGGGAATCCCATAGATGCTGTTGCTTCTGTCTATTCAAAGAGTTTATTTTATCTGCATGCCCGTTGTTGATACGTACACAACAGATGTTTATATATACTTACTGGTGGATCTTTGTATTGTATGAAATTAGAAATTTTTCTTATTTTTTTAAAAATATTTTTTCACCCCATCACTTTGGGATATAAATAAGAATTATAGTAAAATATAGGGAGTTACTAATAAATCTTTCCCAAAGGGAAAAAAAATTTGGAAAGAATGGTAGTTAATTAATAGGATGGTGGATGAGTAATTATATCAAATAGGTGATAGAATGTGATTAGATATAAACTTGCGTTGTAATTGGATAAATAAAAATGATACGAAAAAAAATGGGGGATGAAGGGGACGGGCACGGGATGGAGACGTAGATAGAGACAAACAGAAATTAGGGATTAATCTAATATTAGATCTTAAAATCACGGGTTCGAACAAGAGGAGGACGGCTATGTAGAAAGGCATTTGGATTAGAGGTGATCAGACATAGTTTAAATTACATTATCACCTATTGAGATTTGACAAATTATGTACAGACCTGCTTATGATGTTTCGAAAGTAATACAAATTACAGTTTTAAAATCGACCCTAGACATCAATTCAGGAATTGAATCGAATCAATGGATCACTGGTTCAAAAAAAAAAAAACACTTCTAAAATTACTGTAGTGCTAAGGAGCAATGTTTCTTGGTGGATATATGGAGTGACCTATCTATGCATATATTTTATGTAAAATAATAAATAAAATAAAATAACAAGTCTCGGATCCCACGAGTATGAGTCAATATACATAGAATTCATAATTCTACTGAAATTACTAAGTATTCTTCGTAAGAAAACAAAAGCAAGAAGACTGCAAAGGCACACTCTACTAGCTCTTTGCCTTTTATATTGAAAAGTTAAAAATTTCATACTCTGCCTCATTTTTTTTAGTTTAACGATTAGAGATGTTAAAATCAGTTTAAGCGTACTTTAACTAATTTCCTCTCCAATTTAATTAAAAGTAAATCATCCACATCAAAACTAAAATATTCGTGAAAAACTCTGTCTTGGTGAAACATGATTGACAGTTCTCGCCAGCAACCTTAAAATGTGCAATTGTAACCCTTCACCCTAGATCCTAATTCCCATGTCACAACATACCATGTCATGTCCGTACCTCACTAATCGTGCTACAATAACTTTGGTGGGGACTCAAAATTATTGGATTTCAATCGTTTTAAATAAATTTTTTCTTAATTTAAATAATTCATCGTGAATTCAATTGACAAGTAATTTATCACTAAGGGAATAAATAATTTGGAAGGAATCTAAATACATAACTACTGGCGTGCCACAACATAACACACCTTTTATCATTAATTTTGGAAAACACCATCCGGGCATTTATTGTCCGGAAACATTTTGGAGCAAATTTTTTATTTTTTTTTTGGGAAAGAGAGAAAAGGGAAAGGGGTGGTTTTTTTTTTTTTTTTGGGGGAGGATTTGATCGATCATGGACTAGTAATGAATTTATTAAAGTTGTAAAGATTTTTACAAATTTGGTAAATATACCACTAAAGTTATAAATATTCTCACAAATTTGTTAAATATACCATTGTAGTTGTAAATATTCTCACTCAGTAGTATGTATTGGGGAGATTTGATCGATCAAAATCATATTTGATCGATCATGGACTAATAATGAATCCATTGAACTTGTAAAAATTTTCAAAAATTTTCAAAACATATCACTGAAGTTGTAAATATTCCCACAAATTTGGTAAATATTCCTACAAATGTTGTAAAATTTTCATTAATGTTGTAATTTTGTTCACTATAGTCTTAAACTTCCCACTAATATTGTAATTTTGCCCTCAATTGACTTAATGACTGTTAGACAGTATGTCTTGTCTTGTCATTTCAATGTCTTGTCTTGTCTATCAACCGGTGTCAATATACCATAAATTTAATAAACATACCACTAATGTTGTAATTTGAAATTTTCGATATGGTACCGAAAATTCAAATAGATGTACTGTAGTCTTTTCCTCTTTTTTAACTGTTAGAAATATTCAGATCAATTTTCATACATTTTAATTGATCTTTTCTTTCGTTCGATCAAATATAAATTATCTACACCACAACTAAGGTATTCATGAGAGATTTTAATTTTAAAAAATTGTTAAAATTAAAATTTAAAAAATTTATATTTATAATTCGTTCCTAGTTCTTACTACCACTTGAGTAACTTTAAAATTTTATCAATTATATGGAACAATGTAAAATGCAAACCAATCTTATCAAATTATCCCTTTAAGGGCTAGTTTGTTTCAAAGATTAGAGTGGTATAAGGAGGTGGTAGTAGAGAAATAGTACGTGAGACCCATCTTATATCTTGTTTATTTAGCATTTTATAGGCAGTACTATTTTTCGGGTCATAAATACCGACCCGTTATGAACAGTAGTCATAATGCCTTGTAGATGATCTTAATGAATACCATCTATCCGGTAGTATTATATGCCCGATACAAATAAGATGGAGGTATAATAGAGTAAAAAAACCCAACTGCTCTCATGTACAATTGTCTTTTTAAGGTTACAAGATTACAATTGTCTTTTTAAGGGTCATAGTTGCAATTGTTGATTTTTTTAAGTAGATATTACACAGATAATGTTTGTGACAAACAAATAAAGAAAATGATGAAATTATAGTTTAAAATCGAATGTAATACACTATTGAATCGAAGTAGAATAAATATAAAATCTTATATTCAAAACAAACAAGCCCTAAAAGTCAAAGGCATATTTCTCAAAGATCCCTAATTAACAAATCATAGAGACGAACGCCCACACTTATTTTTGGTACTCTTCATGTCCTTGTTGGGTACGAAATAATCACAAATATTGTTTCATCTAAGAGATATGTCGTTGGTTCGAGTCCGTAATAGTTTAAGAATTACTGTGTTTATTTTTAATATTTTTATTTATTTTGATCTTCTAATTTAACCATATTATTTAATTTTTTCCCCAGTGAAATTTTTTTTTCACCTTGGACTAACTCGTCAAAATTGGGATATTGTCAACTTATCGATACTCCTTTCCCCTCTTTTCTTCTCGTTGCTTTGTAATTATCGCTGTCATGTCATTATTTTTCTCTCTTAATTGTGGTTAATGCTGTTATTCTAACTATTGTCATTATTATCCATCCATCTTTTTTTTTTTTTATTCTCAGTATTATTATTTTGGTCATTTTGATTTTTGACACCAAAAGCAAAAAGAACAAGTTGAACACAAAGAGACAGAAAGTGGAAGACCTTTCTTCTATGTGGGTTTCTGGTTCCATCTCTGACTTCTCTTTAGACAGCACCAAAACTATGAGAAAGTGTGTCACTTCCTCAATGATGTCAAAAAATACACTTCCCTATGCTTCTCCTTCTATTCTTTCCTCCAGATAATTACATCTCTCATAGTTTTGAATTCTCCAAAAGTTTGACTTTCACCTTCTGTGTTTTGTCTTACACATAAGAGGTTTCCTTGAAATCATACTGGAATTGGAATAGAAGCACTTCACCAGAATGTGAGCAGGCTAAACAGCACATAAGTATAGCAATAGGGACCTTATTCTACGACAGAGTTGTCAACGAATCATATTGTGTCGTAAGTTAAAATTGCGTTGTATTAAATTTGAACAACACATACTTTATTCATTTATAGATATGAGTAGGTTGCAGTTGGGTCCGTGTTTATGCAAGTCATATAAATTGGCCAATTATGTGTCTTTAGTTTATAGATCTTGTATGCAATTATCAAATTTCTAATTTGATCTTACATTTCTATGTCAGACTGCATTTTTTAACTTTGACAGATAATTATTTTGTAATTAAGCGACTTAAATGTGCGTTGGGGGTTGGTGCTAAGGGTTCCTTTTAAAGTCAACCACAAAGCCTTGCATCCGATGAAAATCATAAAAGAATTATTTTCTCTAATCGCTGAGTAATGTTATTGAGAACTTAAATATTAATCTAATTTATTAATTTAATAATATAATTTTATTATAATTGTTGCATTAGTACCAGGTTGTAGTGTATGATGAGACCCAATCTAATGACTATAATAAATTAGATCAAAAAATTATTACCCAAGCATTGTTTGTACTCTTTTTTAGCCTTTATTAACCATGAAATAGAATGACTGTCATTTCCATATAGTATATGTATTGAAATTAGTGCTTACTCTACTGCTAGAGTTATTGCTCTCATTTGTAATCTGCATTTATGGGCATCACATTTACTTCTGCCTGCAATTTCAATAATCCTCTCTCTCTCTCTCTCTCTCTCTCTCTCTCCCTCTCTCTCTACAGTCCAAATTGACTTGCAGGTTCCCTGTCCAGGAAAAATAACAGGGGAATCGCTAAAGTCCTTGTCATAATCCAGCTTATATCTTAGTTCTTGCAAACCCATTTCTGTGTTAGCTTGAATGACTTTCTGGAGTTCTTCATTTGGCTTTTGTTGCAATTGACAGATAAACTTCTTGAACTCATATGATGCAAGACTAAAGTTGCAGTCTTGGTGAGTTTTCTCTCACTTTTCCTCGAAAATATGGATTGGGGTTTCCTAGAAATCAAAGAAAAAAGATCTCTCTCTCCATCACAGCAACCATATTTGCGTTATCAGCCACCACCACCCACTATTCAATCCAATAGTTTTAGTTTAAACAACAAGGTAAGCCCAAGTATTTTGCTCATTATAATAATTCTTGCTATTGTTTTCTTTGTATCTGGTATGCTTCACCTTCTTGTTAGATTTCTATTGAGAACCCCAAGTAGAGACCCAGATGAACTGGACAATGTCACTGTTCTTCAAGGTCAGTTACAACAGCTCTTTCACCTCCATGATGCTGGGGTTGACCAGTCCTTCATAGACACCCTTCCAGTTTTCAATTACAAAGCGATTATTGGTGTAAAAAACCCATTTGATTGTGCTGTTTGTTTATGTGAATTTGAGTCTGATGATAAGCTTAGATTGTTGCCCAAATGTAGCCATGCCTTTCACATGGAGTGCATAGATACTTGGCTCTTGTCTCACTCCACTTGCCCTCTTTGTAGAGCTAGTTTGCTTCCTGATTTCTCTCCAAACAATAGCTGTCCTCCAATAGTCCTTATTCTTGAATCTGGTAGTGAGAGTTCAAGAGAGATTGTTTCAGAGAGAGAGTGTGTTTTGAGTACCACCAATTCAGTTGCAAGAGCAAATTCCCATCTGGGTGCTCATTGTGACGATGAGTTCGGGTTGGATAGAACAGATCTTTCACGTAAATCTTGCGAAATTCAGGCGAAAGGCGATGAAGATCGACAAATAAAAGAGCTTTCGAAGGAGAAGGTTGTGGCTGTTAAGCTTGGGAAGTTTAGAAATGTTGATGGTGGAGGTGGAGGTGGAGGTGGAGGTGAAGGTAGTAGTAACAATAGTGTTGATTCAAGAAGGTGCTTTTCTATGGGGTCTTTTGCTTATGTAATGGATGAGAATTCTTCATTACAAGTACCTATTAGAACCACCCCAATGAAGAAACAATCAAGTAAGAAGCCTTCTTTACCATTAACACCCGGGCATAGGACGGCAATGTCTGAATGTGGTTGTGATTCAAGAAGAGAATTCAATGGTTTTGAAGCATTTAGAAGCATTGACATTGAAAGAGGTGGCGGTGGTGGTGGTGGTAGTGGTAGTGGTGATTGTACTAATACTATTAGTAAGAGCAAGAGAGAGAGCTTTTCAATATCAAAAATTTGGCTCCGGGGGAAGGAAGATAAGACTAATTCAACCACGGCCGAGTCGTCGAGAAGGGCATTTTCCTTCCGTTTTCCGGTGAACCGGAATGTTGGGGCTGATGTTGATATGAAACCTAAGAATGGTGAAAGTGGTACAAGGAGGACTATTTCTGAGATTGACATTAGGAGGTGGGAAAATGGAGGAAGTGAATTGGGTTGTGATGAGGAATTTCAAAGCTGCAACAGTTTAGATTCTCAAGCAAATCCACCATCCTTTGCAAGGAGGACTCTGCTTTGGCTAATGGGAAGACAAAACAAGGTTGTTCACTCATCTTTCTCCCAAAATGTTTAATTTCATTTTTCTTTGGAGTTTTGGGTATACTTTTACTCCTTGAATTCATCATTTTGGGACGTAATAGGAAGAGAAAGTAAAAGGAAAAAAGGTTGAAAATGTGTAACAGATCTCAATACAGTGTATTTTTTCATAGTCCCCCCCCCCCCCCCTCTGTCTCTCGGTCTCTCTCAATCATGGTCTAAAGTCCTTGAAAAATCTCCACTTGTTATTGCATTAGTCTAAAACTCGGATGATTTTTCTTTTTTCCTTTTTATGTTTTTGAGGGATTTGCTAGTGAGTAAACATAAAAGTTTCATGTTCAAGTAAGGATTTAATTATGTATGACTTGTACATATGTGGTCCAACCCAAAATGGAAGTGAGACTGTCTATCACTTATCTTTTAAACCTTTCTATGAGTGAGAGTTTTGCATACTGGGTACAATGTTTATGACCGACAGATGAGGTCTTACCCTTTGCATCACAATTGGTTAATTGAGATCGACCCACGGGCAATGGCCCCCTCTTCATATATATTATAGAAACTACTAGGATTCATGTTATTCGAGTATAAAAATCAAATTGACAATGAGTGAAGAGGTCCTTAAAACAGTTAAAAGTCTTCAATTACTAGACATTTATGTGGTCTATAAATGAAAACTTGTTTCAAATTTCAAATCTATAACAACTCTTCTTTTATGTTGTTTAAAATTTTTTCGAATCCGAAAGCTTTGCAGAAAATGGCCAATCTATGTCATTGTGGTCACAGGCTTTTGTATTTATTGAGAGGCATTTTTATGAGCAAAAACAGAGGTGTTGAGGGGTTAAAAGCATTGATGGCCGATGTTATTATGGTCACAGGAACAGTTGAGAACCGTTGTCTGGTGTTATACATACGACCTAACACCACCTCATGTGCTTGTGTCTACATAAATAACAATACTGAGGTCATTTATGCTTGAGGTATCCACTACAGAAAGGCCTTAATTGTTGAGTTGCATGGGTGGCAATTTTCGGTACACTTAAAACACAAATTTGAAAATGACACGATTCACATGACCCACTTACACAAATAATGCATATGTTTGATTTTAATACGATTAACTTGATTTTGACAGTTTACGTGCTTAACTGGTTTTATGTGAAAATGATCAGGAACTACATTAATGCTTCAATTGGACTTTTAGCACATTGCTGATGGGTTTGGTTGATAGTGGATGATGTCTTAATTTTGAATTTATGATCAAGTGGTCATCGTGTCATTCTCTTACGCGACACCATTAGTAATCAAGTCAAGTGAGTATCGAGATATGTGATAAGATTACAATTAAATTGATAGAGATAACACTCGATAAAGAATCTATTGACATGCCTATGGAATTGCCTTTAAAGAAAAATCCAGATGCCGCTGGGTAAAGATCAGCCTCAGTTTCTTTGATTCATATCTCATTCTGGTCTAAGGTATGACTAAGCCAAGAGTTTCTATCTTGTTTTTGCTTGCATTGGATTAGACTAGTTGGCCACAACTTACTAAAGTCGGTGTCATGGGTGTCCATGGGTCGGGCGGGCCGCCCATCCCAGTTTAGAAGATTCAAGGTCTAAGGCTGTAAACTAGAATATGGGTCTATAGACTGGGCTTGGGTTAAAGAAATTTTGGCCTCTAACTTATGGGCTGGGCAGGCTTACGCTAAGGTTAAAATAAGATGGGTTAGTATGGTCTCACAATTCAACTCAACTTAACAAAACCACTTTTAAAAAAAGTGTTGATTTTTCAATCGAGGACTTTGACGTTTTTTTTTTTTTCATATGAATTGTTAGATCGCTAGTATAAAGCGTAACTAATTATTTCAATTTGCAATGATGCATCTACACAAGGTCGGCCTAACGGTATGAAAAATAAATTATGGACTTTAGACCTCAATTATTTAGAAGGTTTCATTAATTTAAGATTTATTACTAGCTCATAATAAAAGTTCCTAAATTAAGTGCAATCAAAGTATTTATTGGTGAAAATTGTGGATGAGTCTCCTAAGATGGACTTATAATGACTTGAGTTCTGAAAGGAAACTTATTTGGAGGTAAACTCATATTTAAACTTATATGCAGGTATTTAAGTTCACTAATTTTTTAAATCTCAAAATTATCACTAACGGTGTTAATTTTGTCTAATTATGGACAGTCACATATGTTAGATTATTGAAGTATATATTGAAACCCTTGATTGAGTTATATATGGAAACCGTTTATTAAATATTATGATAATTAACGGAAGTTTTATATAAAAGTTATATATTTTGATAGTTATATATGAGAAATTTAATGTACGAATAAATTGTTGGTCTATTAAGTTAAAATCATATCACAAAATTTCTTTAACAACAGTAATGCATAATATAGGGAGACTAAACAATGTCAACAGAGTTTAGTAACACGAATATTAATATATAGTAACATTCATGTTACTATATGATTGGAGTTACAATTATGGTCGTGTTACCAGTACAATCGTGTTACTATACTGACACTAATGTTACTATAGTGAATTTTAACATATAATTGCAAACCTTGAAAACATATATTATGTAACATACATTTTAATATTCACAGTAATATCAAAGCTTTGTCCTCAGTAACACATCTGATTTTGCAAAATACAAGACAATAGTTTTTTTACAGTAACATTAACTTTTGAATGATTTTATTGAAAATATGATCCACAAATTAAAAATTTACAAAATGACGAGTAGTAACACACAATCGACAATTGAACTATGACACTTAACACCAATTGTGAACATCAAGACATCGAAATTCTGAATTCTATTTTTCGGTTCACGTATAGTAACATGAATTTTTTTCAGAGTAACACAACCAATGAATACTCAATTGTCTTGCGCAACAATAAAATCAACAAAATCGAAATTTATAACACTTTAATTTAGTACTAATGTAGGAGTTCTCTTGAATCTTGGTTACAAGGTTAATGCCTATTTTGACATAATTAAATTCCTAATTGTTATAACTTTTTTATTATATTATTATTTTTTTGTGAGCATGTTACTATTTTTTTAGTGACCATGTTACTGTATCTGCTGAATATGTTACTATTGTTATTTTTTAAATATTAATATTTAATATTATTATTTTATTGATGGAGTCTAAAATAAACTAAAATAGTAAATTGAAAGTGTATTTTATGAAATATAATGAGTTTGAAATTTGAATATGAACGGTTTTTGGTAAATGCTAGTTTCTTGTTTTTCGGATAAGGAAACATTGTGTTTTGGAAAAATGTAGCTGGATTTTAAGACAATTATGAATGAGATGTATATAGCTGGTTATTGTGTCTATAAATGTAGTTTATAACATTTCTATAGAGAAGTGTTACAATAGTAAAATTAACAAAAAATGGACCTAAAACCAAATAAATATCCTTGACCAGATTTATGTCTAAATAAGTCTATCTAAGGGAACTGACCTCTAAATTTTTCTTTTTATTGAAATAATTTGGGTTCATAATCCAATCTATAATATTAAAAATCTAAAAATTAGAAGTTAAAAAAATACAAAAATATTCAAACGTTAACTCATATTTATCTCCTCTCTCTCTCTCTCCGATAAAAAAATAGAAATAAAAATTGAAATTAAATTATCTCTCTCTTCAATAAAACAAAAGTAAAAGTTGAAACTTTTCTCTCCACAATATTAACACATTTTTCTTCTATCTCTTTCTTATATACAAAATTAAAAATAAATTATTTTTTTTAAAAAATTAATAGTAAAAATAAAAAATACCTCAATTACTATTTTGCTTTAAATCTCAAATTATCTTAACTCCATCTAGATTAGATGCGAAAGCAACAATAAAGACGCGAAGAGAAGTTGGAAAGAAGGCACAATTATATACCAATGCTCTGTTTGGTACGATGAAAAAGTAGGAGGATGAAAAGTTAGAGGGATAAAAAAAATATCATGTTTGGTAAGGAAAGAAAGTAAGAAAGATGAAAAAATAGATAGATTAATTTTCCTTCCAACTCACCAAAATCAATCCCTCCAAAATCGGAAGAAAATGGATGAAAAATTAATTATTTGTGTTAAGATGTATCTTATTTGTCTATATATCTTATGTATACATTAATTTCATATAAAAATACAATAGCAAAATATGTAAATATATTTTAAAAAATTTTTAAAAAAATTAAAAATTAAAAATTAAAAATTAAAATTTTAAATTAAAAAAAATATTTTCCATCTTAACTAAGGGTGAAAATTTTAAACTCAATATGATGACACGACTCGAACTCGATACAAAAATAAACAGGTCAACTCGCAATTCGACACGACACAGTTAGTTAAATGAGTTAAGTTAGGTTTGACTAATATTTGACACAAACTCGTAATGACTTAACACGAATTTGACACGACACGACTCGATTCGATTGTCACTCCTAATCTTAACCAGCACAAAAAAAAATAATTACTTTTATTTTCTATCCATCCAATCAAACACAAAAGAAAGAAAGTGTATCATTCATATTTTTTATCCTCCCTACCAAACAGAGCACAAAAGAGAAGACATAACAAATTCATTATTTACTCATTGGCCTTTTAGTTGACAAGATCTTGAGTAAATTAAAGATGATCAACTTAACTAGACTTGGTTAATTGAAGATCCTCTCTACAATAAAAAAATCAAATTCCGGTCGTTTTGGGGAGGTTCAAGAATTCGGGCAATCCGAACCAGCTCGTGGTGGATAATCCAACTTCTTCTTGACTAGCACAAATGTTGCCATTTTCATCGGGGTGTGGTGCATTTTTGACATCAATTAATTGAGAACTCTACCAATAAAAAAAATTAGTATCATACCACCGTATATAACTTTTTAAAAGGTTTTGTAATCCAATCGGCCCACAAGACAGTACACAAAAGGAGTTTCAGTTACAAACCGCTGCCCGCAGCCGTGCTAAACTTTGCTTGAAATCGTACATACTTGACCCGAATTTAGGCATATATTTTGGAGAGTACTTTTTCATTAGGAGATGGCATCAAATTTGGCCATTTGAGACAGAGACATGAAAGGAACAGGAAAGGTCAATAATGCATGTGAATAGGCCTATTAGTAGATCGAATTTTGATTCGAATATGATTCGCCAGATATAGATTAATAATTTTTACTGATTATTCAAATCCGATTCCATTATGTTATGTTTAATGGATTCGGATTTGAATATATTAATTTGATTTGTTAATAATTCGATCTGAATTATATATATACATTTTATTTTTTAATACATTGAGTCAATATTTTGTTATATTGAATGATTATATACTGAAATTGAACTGGTGAGGGAAGCATTAGTGGTAAGTTAATCTAGAGAGAGAGAGAGAGAGAGAGAGAATATGCACAAGCTTATGCAGTAAGATATGCAAAGCTGAAAGTTTATTTCATCATATGGCATATTACATAGTATATCCATGCCAACTTAGCAGCATCCATGGAAAATGATCTAATTTCCAACGACATGTTCACTCTTATTCAACCATAACTATTGGGGGGGGGGGGGGGGGCACAAAAGAAGAAAAGCAGCAGTTTTATTTTCTTTTTCTTTTTTTGGGATAATGAGTGAACGGCTTATTATTCTTGATAGCTGGAAATTTCTCCAGGAAAGTTTCAAACCCTGAAATCAAAAGGAAAGCGTTGTGTATGGTTAGCACATACTTAACTACTTCAAAAGAAATACAAAGTTGAACATGCACAGCAGTATCAAGAAATACAGAGTTGAACGATATTTTCATGAACAGTTTTTCATTTGTAGTTTGTGGGTCGATTCGGATAAAAACTTGTCTAAGTTGAATTTTTTTATAGAGCTCAACTTAAAAGTTCATTTGATAAACAATACAAGTTCGGGGCAAGGTCTTCTCACCTCCTTAGGATAATAAACATACATATTATACAGCAAGTTTTTATAATATAATTGCATATATATATATATATATCAAATATGCACAAATGAGTCAAACTTGATCTTGAATATGAGCTTTAACTTGAGTTTAAGCTCGAGCCCAACTCCGTTAATCTAATCCAACAAGCCAAATTGAGCCAAGCTAAGCCTGACTTTGAACAAAAACTAGGTGTGCCGGACTTGAACAAGCTACTTGAAAGTCGTCACGATCTCAGCCCAATCCCAAACACTATTACTTTACAAATGAATTAGTTGAGCCTGAATAATATCCCAAATAGTCTGATATGCTCGGCTCAATTTGGTACATTTATACTTCCTATTATTGAAGAAAATTTTGTATGGATTTAATACATCATGTGACACTGTCATGTGGTGTGTACACTTAATAAAAAACTGACACAAAAGCAGTTTGTGGGACACACAAATTGAGTTTTTAAAAAAAATTCTGACAAAATGATAGGTTTCGACTATTCGTTGAACATGTATAATTTTTTATTTGTGTTAAACTGACTAAAAAATTTCTATATTGACGACCTAACCAACCAAAATCAAACAAATCATGTAAATAAAGGAGTTGATTTGTATGTGGGAATTACTGAGTGAAGTCGATGTTGATTCTCCCAGCTGCAGGATCAGCAATGATGGAGAAGGCTTCCTGAGAGAGATCGAGGCCATTTGCTGGGCAGCCGGGACAGAGATCGACGACCGTCACAGTCACGCGGCCATTCCTGCATGGATTTGGAACTGCGTTGGTGCCTGACGTGCATGCAACACTGTATCTTCTTCCACAGGCAGCTCCATTAGCGTACAAGTCCGCACTAGCTGCGGCTATCATTGTGCCGCGGTCTTCAAACCCATAGCATGCCGACGCTGCCAACACAAGAAAGGATGCCATACCGTTGTAAATCAATGAGCTCAAAGTTACAAAATAATGAATTTCAAAATTCTAGAATTGATCTTGAAAAACTTGGGACCGATCCTATTTTTTTTTTAAAATTACTTGAAATCAATTTCATTGAATTAAGTAACTTGGCATTTTTACCTTGTTATTTAATCCAATTCTGTCATAACTTGAATTACAGATACCAAACAAAAAATACAAAGATTATAGTAGTTTTTTGATTAAAATCTAGTCACATCACTTGTGCAAATTTTAAAATAGTAAATAGGACCGAATCTAAACCACACAATTCTAATTTACATCTGATTTTGGCCGAAAAGCTTTGCGTTGAGATGCGCCTTCTAAATTTCGGCACATGTTCAAATGATCAAAATTCTATCTATATATACACAGGGAGAGAGAGAGAGAGTAGTTATACTTACGAACATAAACTGTGTAGTATGTAGCAATTCCAGGAACGGCAGAGGCCATAGAGAATAGGGTTGTGGCAATAAACGCCACAATAATAAGACGCTCAATTGTCATTTCTTTTTTGAATGTTTTTGTGTGAGAAACGAGTAGCTTGCTCTCTACCTTGAATGTGCAACTACAAATTTGGGTTATGCATCAAATTAGATTGGAGAATGGCCCTATTTATAGAACCACGGAATCTTCTCTTGTGAGCAAGCGGTCTTTGCACGTTTCGGTGGGTTGTTTTTGGTTGACCATTTTGGTAAATGTTTCCAGTCTATGGAAATAACTTCTTCTGGTGTTGGATGAATAGACCAATAGCCATCTATGGTTTCGTAACCATCTATGTCTTCTACTGTCTGAAATTAACTAGTAATTTCCGTTTGGAATGGGTGGGTATTGACTGCTCATGCCACAATGGGATCATCTTTTCCAAACACCTTTTATTTTATTTTTTAAATTTGATCTATTTTTGAGTTTTGCAAATTTTTGCAGCCCAACAGTCGGGTACGTAAGACTACCCGATTGGTCAAAAAGATGGCCCATGACTCTACGGACCACCCATAAGCTACCATGTGACGGGTTGGGTCAGCCCATATTTGTTAAGCTGCCATCCAAATACCTTTAAGAGTTTGTTAGGAACTCATGGATAGAATTTATTTATGCAAATTGGTTTGTAAGGAAAAAGTGCCAAAGAATTTATTTATACACATTTAGTTTTATTTTTAATCAATGTGAGATCATAACATTTCATCACACTTCTGTAGCCGACGTCTACGGCAACCCGTTCTATCGACTTTGACTCAACGGTATACAATTCTCTTTGACATTTTAACTCACCTATCAGTGCTCAATGAGAGAGCACTACAGTCACTCCTTCCGTGACTCGACCACAGAGAGCCGCAACTCACATTGTGTTCAATCCCAAACTTGACGTGGTTGAACTTGAACCTGAAAATTGGCTTGTAAGAGAAAGGTGTCAAAGAGATTATATACACGCATCTAATCTTATTTTTAACCGATGTGAGATTATAATAGACTTTATTTTTATTTTTTATAAAGTAAAGCTATTGGGTTGCATTGGTAAATGATTAGTATAACTAATAATTAACTATGATAATTTGCAGTAATGCATCTATACTAGATGTGAAAGTAACAACATAGAGGTGAAAAGAAGATCGAGAGAAAGCAGAGTAAAACTTCCAAAGAGCGGGCATAACAATTTTTTTTTTTGTGTTTGGCAAGAATTAACCTGTTGACTTTTTAGAGTATGTTTGGGATAGGTTTAAAAAAATTGTTTTTTTGGAATTTTTAACTTATCATAATTACTTTTAACAAAAAGCACCGTTTGGTATATTTTTTTAAAAACACTTTTTACTAAGTAAAGTAGTTTTTACACTTAAATAAATTATTAAGTGAAAGTAAAAAAAAAAAATTAACTTTTTTAATTTCTGAGAAACGTTTTTGAAAAAAACACTTGTCTTCTAACCCTTACTCTCCCAATCTCTCTCGATACGATTGGAACTGTGTTGATCTCAATGACCATTTGTGTTTCAACGATTTGCCCACTCTATCGACATGTCGATTTGATCGTTGAAGCACAATGACATTGTGGCAAGGACCTGCAACTCTTGAAGGGGCCACCTCTAGACCACGTAATTAATGAATTGAGTTCTTTGACTTGGTAAGCACAATAACTTGTAGGGCAACACTACTATACAGCCAACCTGCTATTCGGTATCATACTGAAAAGTAGGTTGATCTATATATTTGACACGTAAGTATTTAAAACCGGTAAAACTGGTTGTTTTCGGTAGGCCAGAGATGTGAGTTGTACGTAGTTAAATACAGTTGCACCTAGCCAAAAAAGTTGTACCTAATGAAAAATGTTGTACGTCATCCAAAAAAAAATTGTTCTATATCCAATACAGTTGTACTCACATTCTCCAAAAAATTGTGAGTAGAAATTTGGGATAGATATATTAATATGGGAAAATTATTTTACTTTTCCCTATATATTTTATGTTCACAAAAATATTAGATGTAGAATAAAAATACTGAATGTGAAATATAAGGAACAAAAAATAAAAATATTGTTATACTTCATGGGAGTAAGTGTAATTTACTTTATGATAAATTAGGACCGATCGTGGGGATGGGGGACCTGGCCTAATATTACACTTTAATCCTTTTGATATTACACTTTTATCCTTTAATATTATACTTTTAACTTTTGATATTACACTTTTAACCTTTTAATATTATAATTTATCAACTTAACATCAAAAATCATTCAATAAATATTCAATTTATCAAATCAACATCAAACACTCAATTCATCAAATTTACACCAAATTAACATTCAATTTTTCAAATTAACATTTAATTTTACCTAATAAACATATAATTCATTAAATTAACATTAAAATTCAACTAATAAACATTTAATTCGTAACATTCAATCTCATCCAATTTATATTCAAATTCATTCAATTCATAAAATTAACATGAAAAATCCTTAAAAAAAGATTTTTTTTAATGGATTGTATTAAAAAATCAAATTACACCTAATTACACGAAATAAAATAAATAGAATAATAGAAGCAATGCATGCATGATACAAGAATTAAAGAAATAATAAAATTATAAAGCATGATCCTTCATGTCACCTAAAACTTAGCTCATAATATGGCTGTATTAAAAGACACCCGTGAATGCTTGATGAGCTGAGAGCAGGAGTTTGAGTTGGAAGCCTAAGCTGGATGATTGAGCTTGAGATGGAAGCTTGATCTGGAGGCTTGAGCTAGAACTGGGAGTTAGAGTTGAACGTTTGAGCTTTGAGGCTACTTATCAGAGAAGAAGGTGAATAGTCTTATAGGTTGAGAAACCTATGAGATAGGGCAGCTAAACAGACGCGTGAAAAAAAGAGACCAAAACACAGACTCTTGCATTTTCGATGAGAGAAACAACCTCTGAGAGATCTTCTCCCTTTGAGCACCTGCAAAATAGAAAATTTATGTCTTTTATTCAGAAGCATGGTAGAAGATGAATATCCAGCATGAAGACCAAGAGACGTGGATAGATATTGGAGGATGCAGACGGAATTCTTCGTGGAGTGCTCGGATATAAAGGCATATGAACAGTCCTCTGCTTCCAAAGACGTCTGTAAGTGTATATTGAATGCTATTTTTGGATTAAATTATAAATATTGGTGTGTGCATTAGGAAAATTGATTTATGTTTTGAGTAAATTGTGTTTGGATGTTCTATTAGAAGTTGTGATTTCTAGATTTGTTATTGCTGGTTGTGTTTTTAAATTGGGCTTGTGTGAGCTTCAAAATCCACTGGGTCAATTTCGATTGAGAGTTGGGGTGTGTGGACGCTTGTTTGTGCTCTATGGATGAAGGGTGGATGTGATGAGATGAATGACTGTGGTTAGTAAGGGTGAGAATATTTTTTTAAGGCATCATCCAAAGTTGGTGCTTGTGGATTTGCTTCGAAAAACATCAGGCATGGTTAAGTGCGTGGTAACATGTCCAGGTTTAAGTGGTGAATAGCTCCAGAGAAAATGGCGAGAATAAAAATGAAGAAGCTAAGGCAAAACGATCACTAACACTTAAAAAAGTTTGCATTTTTTGGTGAATTTTTACCAACACAAACATTGAAAATCTCTTGTTTCTCCATATAATGAGTATAGCATTTATCAAAGAGCTCACATGATCGATTAATTGGACCGAGTTCTCTGTTGACTACCTTTACCATCACCCTTCTAATGTTGTTGTTGAGCAGATCTTAACAATCTGTTCTGGTCCAAAATGTTTTGGATTTGCACAAAGCTCTTCTGAAATTAGATAATGTCTTTGCACAAAGCTCTTCTGGTCCAAAATGTTGTTGTGCAGAGCTTGTTTAATAGATAATGTCTTTACTCGAAATTAGCCACATAGAGTTTGGAGTCAATTACGTTTGTTGTTTTGTATTTTTCTAGAAGAAGGTCTACCCTTATTTTGCTGTGTTGGTTGTGATATTAAGAAAAACATTAAAAATTTGGTTTCATTTTGTCAAAAGAGTATGTTTTTATAGCAGTACTCTTTGATATATGACTTTTGCCTATTGGAATGTTGAGTTATATGTCTCTTTTCAACTTTAATTTTAAAGTGAAAATTATTAAACTAACAAAATCATTACCTTTTTATGCTTCTATGTATAACCTTGATCAAATCTTTCATATTTTCATATCTCTATATGATAGCATTACTTGTGGAATCAAAGTGAAATTCTTGGTTTCATTATCTTATATATGGCTTTGTAGTTTAGAAAAATGAATAAGAGGGTTAGAGATTGTATAATCACCATTGACATAGAATCATGAGTTTTGGTTTGTTCAAACCTTAGACTACTCATTCTTGTTAACAAAAGAATTTTAAGTACAACAATATTTGAAACTAGGAATCAATTTCAATAAAAATGTGATATAATCTTCATTATATTAAAATTCAATTCATCCAATTAATATTTAATTCATTAAATTAACATTGAATTCATCAAATTAAAATAAAAATCATCTAATAAAGATTTAATTCATCAAATCAACAACAAAGTAATATTCAATTCAACAAATTAACAATGTCAGCTAATAACATTTAATATTCAATTCATCAAATTTAAACCAAATAAACATTCAATTTCATCAAATAAACTTTTTCGGGTTTCAATTTTTTTGAATTGAGTTATAAATTTTTAGGATGAGCTCTAATGGTTGGGGAAGGGTTCCAACTTTTATGGTGAGATTTTAACTATTGGTTATCTGGATAGGGTTATAACTTTTCAACTTTTTTGAATTGAATTATAATTTTTGGGGTGAGGGAGGGGTTCCAACTTTTTGGGTAGGGTTCCAACTTTTTTGGTAGGGTTTCAACTTTTTTGTTTCCAACTTTTTTGGATAGAGGTTCTAACTTTTTTGGTAGGGTTCCAATTTTTTTGGGTCAAAGTTACAACTCTTGAGGGAAGGTTCCAACTCTTGGGTAGCGGTTTCTGTTTCAATATTTTGAATTGAATTATAACATTTTGGGTGGGTTATAACTGTTGGGGAAGGGTTCCAAATTTTTAGTAGGGTTTCAATTTTTTTGGGTAAAGGTTTCAACTTTTTTGGTAGGAGTTTCAACTTTTTTGGGGTGGGTTCCAACTATTTTGGGTAGGAGTTCTAACTTTTTTGGGTGTAGGTTCCAACTTTTTTGG